TATATATATATATATAAAAGTTATAATTTTCATGTACATAAATGTACCATATGGGATTTGGTGGAGAAATGAAATATTCACCTTTTTTTTTTTTAGCTTCATTTATCTTTTGCCCCCCCTAAAGGAAAGCTCTCCAAAAAGCAAATTTCTTCCCTTGAAATGCCCATTTGGTTGAAAACAGGCTTTGAATGGGACTTCTACTACTTGATGTTTAAAGAAAACCCACAGGTATAAAACAGTCCCTTGGTTACCAGGTTCTTTCTGCCTTCTTTTTGGTTACATTTTCTTCCTTCAGGTACTTGGTTTTCAGTTTGAAACCTTAATTACTTCAGTAATAAAATTAAGTGGGTCCAGCACCACGCAGTCTAACATCCAAGTGTTTCTCCTGTTTGTCAAACTGTAGCTTTAGAGTGACTGTGCTGAGTGCCAGTTGAGGCTCAACTGAGTTGTGTTGCATCCATCTGGTTAGTCTTCTTGACTGATTTTATATTGCTGCATTTTAAACCATTGGCTCCTTGGACCTTCAGTTCTAAGGCCTTCTGTGCCAACGAGCACAGTGCACTGGCTGCTGAGGCTTGATGACGTTGTGCCAGTGCTGTAGGAACCTTTATACCAGCACAAATTTTCAGGATTAATTCACGTTCTGTGTTTATTGCAAAAAAAAAAAGGCATTTTTTTAAATGGTGGGTTGGCCTTTCCTTTTAAAATCTTTATTTCATCTTGGAATTCAGTTCCCTCAAGGAACTGAGGATTTGGCAGGCAAACAACCAAAGGGTTGATTCAGCATGAAGTCGCCAAATATATGCCGATGTCTTCTAGTTGTGTTACTCCTTTTTGACGGCACTCTCTGAATAGTCTGACACCTGGGTTGGGTGGTTATAAAGCATGTTTCAGTGTTTCTATCTTGACGTATATTTCCTTCTTCCAGCAACGCATCAGGGATTTTTTAAAATAAACTGCCAGTAGGCAAATTTTGCCATATTCAACACTGTGCAAACCATGGTTGTTGCAGCTTCTTAACTGCAAACGGGCTGTTGGGCCCATGTTTTCCAGAGCCTTTCGATAGATTTGTTAATAAGTGTCTGAAAGTGGTCTTGTTTTTAAAGGTTTTCCTACAGACACTACTGTTGGAATCAACAATGACCTTTCTCCTGGTGATACGGGGTCGATGTAAAGTGCACATTTCATACTGAGCATCTCAAGAATTCAAACTGTTACCGATGGCTTAGATGAACTGAGGCTAAGAAGGGCCTGGATTAATTGAGGCTAAGAAGGCTGTGTTTGTTTAAACATGTGCTTTACATAAATGCTTTTATGTCCGTTGCAGATTGTGCACATACCTGCCTACAGTCTAGTTGCTGGCAGAAGTATTTTTCATGCTCAGAGGGGGTTTCCTGCGTGTTTCTTTGCAGAATTCTAGTATGCTTTACATCTGTCCCAGGAAGGATCACTTATTATCCACCACGATGCTTCTGGAACCGGATTAAGTTCTGCAGTGGCACTATAGCAAACTAGGCAGGACTTACATGTCAGGGACTCCAGAGTATCCAGGCTTCCCAGATACCCATCCAGGGACAAGAAATATAACCCTGATGTCAGTGACATTCATCTTCAATACATAAAGTTGGCTGCCAGCCAACTGTTAATCAAGCGCATATTCTGTGGAAATTGTAACATGAGGGACACTTGTTTTAATGTCCTTACAAGACTCCAGCCAGGTACTGTGGGCACTGGCTACTCTTGCCTCTGTCCACTCAGAGACGGGATCTTTGAAGAAGGATATGTGCTGCACTAGGCCCTCGAGGACCAAGCCTTCTCTTATTCGAGCAGAGAAAGGTTGTTGCCTCTTTGGCCAGCCAATAAAGCTTCAGGGCTTTTGTTTCATTCTTCACGTTCGGTAATTATTTTAAAATTTCTCTTAACTGTTTCCTCTATCTTTTTTTTTTAATAATCAAATGATTTATAAAACAGATCTCTCTTACATTTCATGTAGCTCCACGCTACGTGTCTGGTGTAGGAGCTTAGCAGGGAATAGCCAGCAGAGGATTAGCCCGGAAGCCCAGGTGGGAGCAATTATGAATAGGGTGGAAATTGAAGGGCCAAGAAATAGAAGGGAGAAATGCAGGAGTTTAGAGAAGGAAGAAGATGGGGCTGGAGTGCATCTGCGAGGAGAAAGGATCATGCAAGAGAGAGAGGGGACAAGTGACGGAGGGCCAGGAGGTGACGGGAATCAGGAGTTTGCCGTTATCAGAGAGGGTGAAGTAAAATACGCCTCCCGGAGAGAAGAAACAGAGAAGACGGCTCTCAGTTTTCCTACAGGAGAAAGGACTGGCCATGAGGGAGGGGCTGTCAGAGGCCGATTAGGACCGTGGCAATTGCAAAGGGATGCCGGTAATTTGCAGTAGAGTAGCAGCAGAGGCATAGCTGATCCTGAGGGGACACCTTGTGGTGAGAATAGAGTGTGACTACATAAAAGAGCACCTGAATTGCAGTACTTGGGAGTTTCTGGCCTTTGTGACCCTGAGAAAGGGGCGAACCATTACACCTGGTAATAGAACCGCCATTCAAACATCTTAACTGCAGCCCTCTGGTTTTCACTGTGCATGCCAACAGCGATGAACTGCATTGTCGATGCTTGTGAAGAATAACTGACTTCTTTACCAATTAGCCTCTTTTTTAAAAAAAAAATTCACAGGTTTCTGAGTTCTTTGTTTCTTTGTTTACATGTCTGTTTTTCACTTAAATGTGACCTTACAACTCTGAGCCCATGGGCAAAACACTGTAGTAAAAAAAATGTATATAAAAGAAACTTACAAATCGTTTGTTTGTACTACTTGCCAGGGAACTGGAAGATGATTGCCTTTCAAGTGTTCTGGTCTGAAGACTACGGCGAAGTTTCATTTTTAAAGCTCAGTTTGTATTTAAAGGTGTGCTGTAGCAGATTAGGGAAGGGGTTTAAGTGGCATTTCCCCTGACTTAAATCTCTCTCCGTCCAAACACAGCCTCCATTGCAGCTAGTAATTGCTCTGTGAGAAAACATGTAGCTCTGCCCCCCTCCCTGCAAACAGCCCATTGGAGGAGGGGAGGGGGACTAAAGTCAGGAAAACAGTGAGAGGAGAAGAGGATAACCCTCCGTTTGCTGCATCTCTGATAGAAGGGGCTTAACTGGCATTTCCCCTGACTTAAATCTCTCTCTCCGTCCAAACACTGCCTCCATCGCAGGTAGTAATTGCTCTGTGAGAAAACATATAGCTCTGCCCCCCTCCCTGCAAACAGCACACTGGAGGAGGGGAGGGGGACTAAAGTCAGGAAAACAGTGAGAGGAGAAGAGGATAACCCTCCGTTTGCTGCATCTCTGATCCACTTTGGGGGCCCTATAACTGATTTTTATCATTTCTTTAAAAATGTTCCACATCCTGCTCCTGGGGACAAGCGGTCTACCAAGTGTCCTGACTGTGTGTTTCGTAACTTGGGGATAAATCAGACGTGCACCAGGAGTTCTGAAGAACAAGGGGCATAGGGACTCAAAACATTTAAGTTTTTAAAAATTGCCGGGAGCTCAGATTGTGGAACTCCCGGTACACATTGGGTCCCCAGAGCTACCAAAGGAAGCGCTGTGTCTGCTCTTTCCTTCCGCTTGAGTGGATTTCAGTCGCCTAACAGGAGCGAGTATTATATATTCCCTACGTGTTAGCTTTCTTTATTTCAGTAAGTTGAAGTTCTCAGTCAAAACACAGGCCCCAAAAGTAACACATCAGCAGGACCAGTAAAAACAACGTGATACAACTTAATTGACTAGGTTCGGATGGGAGTAAGGAGAGAAAACGTGCAAAAGAGGATGCGGTGACTGTGACAAGAGTTGAAACAGCATACATTTCCCAGCTATCTTAAGTAAAACAGTTGCATTCGTTTTCAGTAGTCAGTAAATCAGTCTTTATTATGTCCTACGGGCCATTCAGAAGCAGACGTTTTCAGTGGTCCTTTTCATAGCGCCCCCTCCCCCCCAATACACACACTTTGTTGCAGAAAACAGAGATGTGTGCTTTGATATCTTTGGAAGTAACGAAACCAAAGGCTGAAGAAACCCAGCATCATGCGCCAAATCATCCTGGTCTGTGAGAAGCCATATTCAACATTTGGTTAAATACCGCATCATCCTGGTCTGAGAAGCCATATTCAACATTTGGTTAAATAGAATCATGTTTTGCAGTCGCAACGGTTCTTGGTTCAATGCATCGATTATAAAAAGTCCTAATTGATGAGAGAGGGAGAAACGAGAGACTGCAACATATTGGGGGGAGATATCTTTTCAGCTACTCCATGTTGTGAACAACCATTGTGTTCAGATTCTTTTATTTGGGTTTTAGCTATCGTTAAACCCAAGTGCATTTGATACCGTTTTTACAAATCTGGCTATACGAAGGCAGGCCCACAAGAAGCAGCGGGGACGGCTTTGAGTCATGTATACTGCTCTATTGTTTATATGACATTTTCAGGAGCGACTTTAAAGTGAAAAGAGTAG